AATATAGAGCTAGAAAAATGATGTATCATTAGGAATCCATTTAGGATGGCCATTTTTTCAGTATCTTACCTAAGGCCAAGTCATTATAACATGGCTTTGCAGTGCTTGACCTGACAGAGCACTGAGGCTCTCATTTGCCTGGGTGGTGATTTGTTGATACCTTACTAAGCTGTCACTGGAAAGTGATGTTGTCCCAAGGAAGGTCAGACCTGCAGCATAGGGACTAACAGCAGTCAGCTGCATAGGCAAAATATCCTGCTAGGGAAAATGACATGTTTCCTTGTTTTAAACCTGTTAAGGTTATGAAAGTCACAAATGTGTATAAATATTTTTTCACTAAGTTTTTAAACCCACTGATGTATTCTGCATGTATGACAGCTGGATTTATAGAATATTTTACAATTCCCAGAGACGATGTGATCATCCGGCTGTGCAAAATAAAAATATGCTTCAAGAAGTTTTAAATATTATATTATTTATTGTGAAAAAAAATAAAAGGACAAAGCAAGTCTAAAGTACACCAAAATGAGGCTCCACTATTTTTCTGAGAGTTGGGATAGCGCATCACATCGGATAAGCACTGACTGGCATGAATAGGCATGCATGCTCTCAGAGATTTCTTTAAAGTAAAGAAATGCAGGATGGGTCAGAATTGGAATCCCACATGCCAGCTTTCCCCAGCTCCTTCCCTGCTCTGCCCTCGGGGCCTGGCTGTAGCCCCTGACTTTGCTCTTTAAGATTCCATTTAGAGAAGGGAGCTCTATTTTGATGGCGGGGACAAAGTGAGAACAATGGTCCTATTTCAGGGTCTCATTCTGACAGTCTTCGGTGATCAGCCTACAATTTCATCATTTTTTTCTAAAATACATTATTCATTTCATCCACACTGGCACTACTATCACCACCTCCATCACCACCACCATCACCATCACCACCACCATTACTACTACCACTGTCACTGTCACCATCCCCGCTGTAACCATCACGACCATCACCACCACCACCATCACCACCACCACAACCACCATCACCATCCCCCATCACCACCACCGCCATCACCACTGTCACTGTAACCATTGTGACCATCACCACCACCCACCACCAAGACTGCCATCACCAGTACCATCACCACCACCACCACCATCACTACCACCACCATCATCACCACCATCACTGCTACCATCGTCACCCCCATCACCACCACCACCACCATCACTACCACCACCATCATCACCACCATCACTGCTACCATCGTCACCCCCATCACCACCACCACCACCACCACCAC